TGCACCTCATCCAAATATGACCATTTCCGGAGGTCTTTCTGACCTGGAATGTTAGCCCTTTTGACACGAATTTAATGTTGTGTGAACACTGATGGTAGATCAATGTGTTTTCCTTCCTCAAATCCACTGACTTCTATTTCTGACAGGATGTGACTATGGACAAGCTTCTCCTGTCCCAGTTAAGAGAAAAAAGTCAGTTCTTTCTGCCTCTTAAGTTAAGTGCTCTCCTGATCTTCTCTGTGCATAATGTAGCTGAACTGCAAGGATCTATGAAGGCCTATGTCGCAATTATCTGTGTGCCTTTATTTGGTCTGAGTTTCAGAGGTGGTGTTTCTTTCATTTTTAGGTGATGTCTTTTCTTCTCTTTGTACATGTAAGATGCTTGGATGTTTCCGCAAACCTAACTGACATGTCATCTTCTTGTACAATCTTTACTCAACTGACCTTGAAAAAGGCATTCAAAACACAAACCTTTAGATTTCAAATATTCAATCTTTACCTTGTTGGCTTGCTTCTGGAATTTTTCACAATTGTCCAGACTGTGATTCTTGTCACAGTACAAACAGTTATTCTGGGATGCTTTGCCATTATCCCTCTTTGTTATTTGGTTTGACTGTGAGAATTTCTGTTTTTCTGTGTCAACACTTGTAGCAAAACTGCTACTCCTTGGTGTATTCTTGTTTGCTTTCCTTACAAAACAGCCTTTTTCTTTTTGATAGACTGACTTCCTGGAGATCACCAAACAATGGATGTGAGTTGATCTTTGTTTGTCCATCAATATAATCTACCAGATCTGTGAACCTCACTCTTCTTCCTCCTGCATTTCAAATGCCACATTCCACTATCGCTCCCTCATCTTATATGGCAATTGGGACAGAATAACTCTCATGTTTGTTGAGTTGTCCATTTCTTCCATGTAATCAACATCTTGCATCGTGTTTCAGCAACTAATCTGGAAGAGAGAATAAGCGTTTAAGCCCTCAACACAGGGGTCAGCAACCCAAACTGCTCAAAGAGCCATATTTGATCAAAAAAACAGAAAGAAAATCTGTCTGGAGCCGCAAAAATGGAAAAGTCTTATATATGCCTCGTATTGCAACATTGCTCTAAATGTTTTATCCCCCTATAGAAAAGGACTATGTGGGCTGTAAAGTCTGTTAGAAATTGGAGACTCAGACAAAGCAGACCTCAAGGAACAAAGCTTCTTTTTAATTTAGACGCTTGCAAGTGGAGAGCTCACAGTTACACAGAGTCTCTCAGTGAGCTCTGACTGGGGTGGCTCATTCCCCCTCTACATATAGATCACTTTCGTGCACAAAAGAGGTTACAAAACATCAACAGAAACTGTTTTGCAAAACACAATGGTTTCCACTGAACTGATCTGTTGAGGTATTTCATAGTAACTGTTTTACCAGTAATTGCTCTTGCTTGTTACTGTTTAAACAACACCTTTTTTAAACTGACCGTTCCCAGCTTCTGCACAGATGTTTATCCTGTTAAGATGTTTATCCTGCAAGGTCATCTTACACCCTTGTGACCTTCAACAAATATACTGATTGCATAAAAAAAGATATAAGTTGTACACACAATTTTAACTTCACAGTGCTTAAATATATAATAAGCATTCATGATGAAATGTTTATCTTTGAGAAAATGTCACAGCATGAGGTGAACCAGGAGCAATGAACGCTCTCACCAGGTGGAATTCACAGCACGCAACTTCCCCGCACGGTTTAGGTTTTGTTGCATTGATCAAATGATAAAAACACAATAAATGAATCTTTCTATGGTGGACGGGATTCTGTTGGGAGGAGCTGGTTGATTCATGAGAACCAAGTAGGACATCCATCAGAGCAGAGCTCTCCAACCCCAAAACCCCACATCCTCCGTCACCAGCGTTCCTTGGTGTGATTTATATTTTTAGGATTTGGGGGGGGGGGGAAGAAAGTTCACAACACTGCATCAGGGCACTACCTGTTTGATCTATGGGCGGTTTTCCATTCTTTCAACAAAACTAGCAGCAGTAGTGGAGTTTGGAGATTCAATTCACTTCTTAAATCCATCTTTATGCTTCTCTAATTTATCCATAGGTTGCGCAATCACACTTTTTCTCTCTCTCCAAGCTTGGTGGTAAGTTGCATAGTTAGCTTTCCCTGGAAATGCCTTGCCAAATTCTTCTTTTTTTTTTTGACAACCTCTCATTGCAAAGCAAGAATGCAGGCAATCCTTCCACGTTGATAATGAAAGCAAATGATTTGGTCCATTCTTTGAATCCTCTTTTCTCATCAGCTATCTTCCTTGGTCCTGAGACACACCTGAAGCTTTGTTTGGCTGGCACTGTGCTGAGCTGGTTGCAAGTTTTGACCACTGATCTCTATGGTTATGATGCAAGATATTGTTCAAATTTATTATACAAATTTTTATAGCATTGCAAAACATAATTAATTTTAGTTTGACCTCTTGCGCACAATAGTAAAAAAAAAAAAAAATGTATGAAAAATCGATTCATACATTATTTAAAAAAGTCCAGGGAGCCGCAAGGGGGACACTAAAGACACTAAGATTGTTTAAGTATTAATTTGTATGATACAGCTTTGAAATATTTTAACACCTGAGAAAATCAATTTTAATATATGGTACGGTAGCCTTGGTTTCCAATTACAGAGGTCAAATTTCCTGTAGTTTTTCACCAGGTTTGCACACACTGGAGGAGGGATTTTGGCCCCCTCCTCAACACAGATCTTCTCTAGATAGCGTTGGGAATTGATACGATTTTCAGGATTCCAATTCTCTTATCGATTCTGTGAAACAATGAGCTTGGTTATTTTATGGTGACATTCGTCTACCTTCGCCTGGGACATTCTATTTCTGCTTGCCTCTGCGAAAACAGAAAGCAGTGAACGGAGCTGCCAGCCTATGAGTCATCAAGGCTACCCGTCTGGTCACAGTCATCTAAAGCAAATGGAGAAGGCATCCGCTTAATAAAAACGCATTACTGTACAATTTCAGGAAATAAACTAATCTCCCCCTGATTTAAATAAACAAGTGTCCCTTAATAACCCAAAGAGAGGTAGGAAATTGGTTTATTTCCAGAGATGACATATGATTTTGTTGCACAGGGAAAAATATGATTTATGTTTTTCTTTCATTTAAATGTTATTTTTTTGCTTTGCATGTTTGGAGGAGAAGATATGATTTGTTTTTCTTTGTATTTCCTTTTCGAGCTTTGCATGTTTTGATGTTTGTTCATGATTGTGTTTTCCTTTATTTAGACTTTTGAATTTTTCCTGCATGTTGGGTTGTTTTTGTTTTTCCCTTGTGACAATCCATGCGCACTGGACTGAAGTGGTTGTCTGGGGAGGCGGAGTGCATTAATTGCGCTGCGTAATTGCTGCGCTCAGGTGTGGGCAGGGGCTGATTAAAGCCGACATAAAAGGTGTCTGAAGGAAAGGAGAACGGAATCTACAGGTGACAGAGACGGACGCGCTGCCAAAGGAGAGTCAGGTGCCAGTAAAGAGTATTAGGGCAGAGGGGGGACCTCTGCCCGCGCCTGTAAGTAGCGCTTCCTCTTGCTTTCAGCATAAAAGGGAATATATCTTCCAAAGGGGTTTTGGCGCGTGGATGCTGGCGTTCTCCCTGCTTCTCTTTTAGCTGGATCGGTTTGGAAGGGGGTGTGGCACACCAGAGTGTGGAACAGTGCTGGAGCGCCGCAGAGTCAGCTGTGGATCAGTCAGAGGACACGCTGCAGACAGATCGCCCGCACCAGAAGCAGCATAACAAGCAGAGCCCAACTTCACACCTCTGATTTTTAAGTTAAACTCTTGAATTTTAGGTTTTATCAGGAAAAGAAACAGACTATTTTAGCATGCCACTTTTGCTGTGGCTTTTTGTATAAATAAAACACTTAAACTTAAGTGCTTCACAGTTTGGGTCTTTGAGTTGCTTGCTCCCCCTTGTGTCAACGACTGAGCGTGGGGCCATACTGGCCACAATTTACTAGGAACCAAATTAAGCAGAGCCAGTGATACAAAACTAGCTACTTGCCACCAGAGTTGCCTTCCATGCTGGTCGTAACTTTAGCTCCTGTCCTGCAGCATAAAATGGCATTTGGTAAAATGTTTGTTAAAATGTATGCCATGTTGTGTACCCAGGTGTTTTTGCATGTTGGAGGTATTTCCTCCTACAGATGTTATTGCCACTTTACATCCAAACTTCCGATTTCTTTACCCGATGTGACGCCTTTTTTTTTTTCTTTTCTAGACTTGCGCCTTGTGCATAAATTGCATAAAAAACGTGACGCAAGTCGTGCTGCCCAGCACTAGGCTCTGGTGCTGCCTGGAACCTTTAAGAGAATCGTTAAGTGAGCTGTCAAACGTTGCCATGGAATTGGAACACAAGGAACAGGTTCTGACCACAAACCGGTTTTCCATTCCCATCCCTATCTTTAGATCAGTCTGGTTTCTGGGCTGTCGCTGAGAAACACAGTGGACATGCACCTATAAGGCTTCAAACGTAAAGATACAATGAGAAAAATTATTTACAAAACCCAGCTATTTTTGCAAATTCTCCCACTTAGAATTCATGGAGGGGGGCATCGTGGGTGCATGTCCACTGTGTTTCTCAGTGACAGCCTAGAAATCTAACTGATCTAAAGTTCCAATTCCATGGGTGCCATGGAATTGGAACACACGGAACTAGTTCTGAACAGAAACTGATTTTCGATTCCCATCCCTATCTTTAGATCTGTCTTTTAGGAACAAGAATGGGGTAACTGAGCATGTGCTGAAGAATTCTCAACAGTCAAGCTAAATGCATATTGGTTAAATTAACAATGTTGCAACTGTGCCTGGTGTCCACTAATGTCTAACGGTTTTTAATGTAAGAATTTTCACTCATGAATATATTAACTCCCATAAGAAACCAAACAAGAGAGAGTTAGACATGTGCAATTTAATTAATTAGCTTTATTATAAAAGAACATTTGCAATTATTTTACCTTTCAATAGAAATGTCAGCAGAAAATAAGGCTTGGATTTTACTGAAACTTAAAGAAATGCATTGACTTTATAAAAAATCAAAAATTGAACAGTTACAATGGCTTTTTTGATCCACTTAAGCCATCTTGTTTTGGTTTGTTGGTTTAAGGCTATTTAAGGTTCCTGCAATTATTTAATCACTATATAAAAAACCTCTAACGGAGCATAGAAACCAAGAACAGGTTAAAATAAACTGAAACAGATAAATGCAATTATGAATATTAATATGACAGAAAACACTAAGAACATGCGAAAAAACATTGAATTAATACATTTGAGTCATGAAGTGGAAAGTATAGAAAACAGAAGTTAACGTAGGTGATGTTGAAAGGCCCTGGATCATATATTTGTAAATCTTTCCAAAGTCATATGTGGGCATTTATTAAGTAAAGATAACTTTGGCACCATGATTATGTGTTTGTTTTGCAAAAGGAGTGTTTTTTCGCTCATTAAAAACGCCTGGGAGCCGCCGTTTTGAAGGTGCCTATTTCATGATGTTGCCCATGGCAGCTTTAAAATTACATTGTGTTAACAGGAGATTAATACTGATATATTGGCCACATTAGTTTCAAAACTAGATTACTAGAGGTTATTTAGCAATAAACTTGCTATTGTGATTTTATTTTAGTAATACGTTCCTATAAGATGATGGAACCAGGTGAGTCCAATCTTCACATTGAAATACATTTTGAAAATCATTGAAAATCACCTAGTTCAGTGGCTAGATGGAACATTGCATGGAGATGACTTGTTGACTCTCCATCCCCAATCTTAGCAAAAGAGGCCTACATGGATAAAGTAAATTACATCTTTGTTGGTGGTTTCATTGAAGTGAGAGTCTTGTGACATACTCACAAACCCAAAACTGGATATTGCATGATAGGTCCTTTAAAATGAAAGAAATTAATCCAATAAAAAGATGGTGGTTGTGTTCTTCGGTGAGAGTCTAATTTCTGCCCCCTCTTTGATGTAGAAGTAATTCACCCTGTAACAGAAGAAAAGTGTTAAAAGAGTGTTTTCCATCATCAGTTGACTGCATTATTAAAAGGTTTGGTATGAAGGTCAAGTATTACCTTGGAATCTGTGCTGCCATAAAGACATAAAGAGAAAAGTAGAGATGAAGTATGGACAAAAGATCAGTAGGCGTCTCATCACTGTGAATACCAAGTGAAAAGGGTTGGATGCAGGTGTTGGGGCACTGGAGGTGGTTGAGGAAAAAGTAGTTTGTGTGGTCACTAGAGGTTTCCCTGCAGAAGAAAGTTTACATTTTGACTCTAATGAAACAAAAACCTTTAAAAAAATGTATATTACACCTTTGATCAGCTGATCTAATAAACCGCTGCTCAGGTTGACCCGTTTTCACAAC